CTTTGATCAATGAATAGGAACATAATTTTCCCACTGTGTTAGAAATCTGACTTCATGCTGTATCCAGAGTTTTGGAGACAAACATTGGAAGAATTTCAGAATACAACCATAAGACCCAATGACTGGAAAAGTGGGAGATACAAAATTTATATTTGATATGTATGTGGTGGTGGGTAGTTAAAGAAATTAAACCTAAGGCTCAGTGGTAGAGTACTTGCTTGGCATGTGTGAGGTCCTGGGTTCAATCCCCAGTACAGAAAGAGAAGGAAGGGGAGGGAGGAAGGAGGAGGAGGAAGGAGCAGGAGCTCCACTTGAGACGGTAAAACACTTGCTGTGCAAGCATGAGGAACTGAGCTCTAGCCTCAGCATTCATCCCTGTAAAAGTCATGGTGGCAGAGCTTGTAACCCAGTGCTGGAGAGTCAACGGCAAACCCCTGGAGCATGACTGTAACCAGTTCTAACAATCCGGGAGCCCCAGATCCCAGTGGCCTGTCTCCCGTCTCAAAAACCAAGGTTGACAGCTCCCGAGGAATGATAACCAGGTCAACGTCCACATAGGCATCTCACACACACACACACACACACACACACACACACACACACACACACACACGCACACACACACGTTCAAAAAAATAATTACAGAAATCTAGGCAACAGAAGTGACTTTGAACAGTGACGTGACATCACAGGATCACCAACTGTATAAAGACATGACATTAAAAGAAAACTTGAATTACTTTTTGGAGCGAAGCAAAATATGGCTCTGGTGTTCACGGGGCCAGTAAGAGAGCTCTCAGAGCAGAGGAATGAGAGGGTGGAAGGAAGCAGGGGAAAGTGTTTTGAGCTCTTCCACCCTTGGGAGCTCGTAGCATATTGTGCCTAGCAAAGCATGTAAAACACGGCAAGCTTTTAAACTTCTGGGTACTTTTTTTTTTTAGATGCCGACATCTATTTTAAAGGAGAAAGGGGGATTTAGTCCAGGAAGGGCAGGAAGAAATGGTAGAGACTGACTCAAACCTGGATTAGGATAGAAAATGAGACAGACAGACACACAGAGAGACAGAGAGCCAGAGAGAGAGAGAGAGAGCCAGAGAGAGAGAGACAGAGACAGAGAGAGACAGAGACAGAGAGAGCCAGAGAGAGAGAGAGAGAGCCAGAGAGAGAGAGAGAGAGCCTTTGATCTTGGATGTCTTGACGACCCAGAGCCGTGGCCCGTGGCTTAAGGACCAGACACTTAAATCATGTGGCATTTACTGACCCAGATAAAAAAAATACTCTTGTGCATCAGTGTGTGTATTAAGAATGGCGGGCTTCCAAAATCATTCTTAGCTTAGTTTGACGGCTTCCTGTAAGAAATGAGGGAGCGTCTCCAGAAGGGGCAGCTTAATGATTTTCTCCTCCCCCACCCCCAAATCGCTAACTGGTGCTCCCTTCTCAGAGCCCAAGTTCACGCTGAGGGCAAAGGGAATTAAGCAAAGGGGCGGAACCTGCAGCTGAGACTAGAGCCCTGCCAAGGGCCTAATTTTAGGCCCTTGCTGCCCCAGCTGACAGCCTGCACTGCTGGCTTGGCCATGGGGACCACAAGCGCGGCCGTGAGCTGGTGCCCAAGTGGGGAGGGCTGCTCCCCGGCCATCTGCAAAAGCAATTAGTTTGCTGATGGGTGTGTTTTGAGAGGGACTACCAATAATTTCTCCTTCAACAAATGTTTCTTCAGGTGTTCAAGAGTCAAGGAGGGAAAACGTCAGAGCTTGGCAGACATTCCCACAGGCTTGACATTCTCACATTGCTGCTTTCCCGCTTAGCAGAGATCTCCACATGGGAACTAATCCTGGAATTCCTGGGTTTTCATGACAAATCACCTTTGATCAGTTTCCTCTGGCTCTAAACTTACTGCCACAACCCAGGGAAAGTGTGGTTGGAGACTTGGCTTGATGAAAATGGGCACAGATGGACAGGAGGCTTTGATTTTGTGGGACATTTCACAGCAGCCTTCTGTGAGGATTTGGGCTGTCCCCTGGTCTCCACTTACTTTCCACTCACAGGTTTCATGCTTAATTGTCTTCTTCAGAGGCCAGACAATAAGAGCTGGCATCTTCCAGATCAAAGGGGAAACAGAATATATTTTAAAGTGACAACTCTGTTATCCTGCGACCAGAATAAACTGATGTAAATATAAGCCCCTAAACCAGTCCATGCTGAAATGTTTCCAGAGAGCACAATCTCTCTAATTACAACAAAGTAATTCTCCTCACACACCACTCAGAAGAACACATCTTAGTTTTGCACAATTCTCACGCCTGCGGCAGCCCACCTCAGCAATGGAGATTTTTCTGTCCCTGCAGGTTGGGAGCTGGGTTTATTCACTGGGGCTCTCTGTCTGCAGAGCAGACTGCTAACAATGGTTTTTTGCCAGGGGCAATGAAAAAGCAGGCTGAGGTGGTACCCAGCCTAGGCAATGCGGCCCTTAGTGGAGGATGCGCCCTTGGTCAGGGCCACTGTTGTGAAGATACACAGACAGCTTGGGGGCTTCTCTCCATTTCCCTCTCCAATACCTTTGTTCTTCATAACCTGCTTGCCTCACAACCTAATGTCGATCTGTCCTGTGCACTTCCACACCTGCCCCAAGCACACGTTCACACACACATGCATGCATGCACATACACACGCAGTCGCACCCCTCTTCCCTGTCTCTTGGCGCTGGCCCTTTCATCTTCTCCCTCAGGGATTGGAGATGTCGCTGCAGGAAGTGCTTGTCCGCCGAGGCAGCAGCCAGCAGAGCCCTGTGGCTTTGACAAACCTCATTTAATTGGGAGGAAGCCAGGAGAATTTGAAAGAACTGAAACATCCACGAAACTCCTTTTATCAGGCATAATTTAAACTCTGCATGGAAAAACCCCTATATGTATAAAGAAAAGTCAACTTCCCTCCTGCTGCGAGCACTCCTCATCTCCCCCAGCACAGGCAGGCTCCTGCAAGATTCCATCTTTTCATTTTTCTCAAAGTGTCAAAGTAGATTTGGGCTCTGCAGCAGGGTGAACAGAGAAGGAATACAGATTGTTCTCTCTCTCACCCATACACACACACACACACACACACACACACACACACACACACACACACCTTTAGATAGTGTATACACCAGAGTCTGTCTGTCGGTTGATAGCTTTGCTTCAGATTTCTAGGGAGAATCAAAACCCAAGTTCCTAGGGGCACACCAGTTTGGATAGTGACTGTTGCTTCCTAATTAAAAAGCTGGTACCCAGAAAACCTTGAAGATCCCAGCAGTTCTCAGTGTCCAGAATCATAGACTCCACAGGAAGCCAACAGGGAACATTTCTTTAAGGAGAGAGTTGTGAGTGGGTGTGTGTGGAGCCAAATGTGCACAAGTATGAGATGCTGTAGGGTTAGGCATCCTGAGAGGGAAGGACTGTAGTCACAGACGAGAAAAAGGAGAGCATAACAGGACAGGCAGGGTGGACCCACGTGAGGCATGGGTACCAGGAAAGGGGCGGTGCCACAGCTCTGCCGCAATGCCCTTCATCTGACCCACCAGCCCAACCCTGTCTCTCACCTCCTTGCAAAACCCCCACCAGATTCCCCTCCAGCCTCCTCCATGGCTCCCGAATTATCCTCATTTCTCCATAGTCGCCTTGAGCACATGCGGCCCCTGAACATCTGTGGCCCATTAGAGCAGATTTTAGCTGCTCTGATATGATTTGTGCTAATACGTGTAGAGGGTACCCCGTTTCCTCTTCATCACCTTCTTTTCCTCCCACTCCTTAAGATCCTCCAGGCCAAGGACAAGTCTCTTGTTTTCCTCAACCTTTTATAGCAATCCATGTGCTCTTGACACTTAATGGCGGCTTTAATAAATTCTAATGGCGGCCTCTTCTCACAGGGTTAAGTAAGATATTAACCTCAGATGCACGATGATGGTTATTTTTGGAGAACTTAACTGGCTTGCTTTAATAATAAAACCCCTCCATAATCCCAAACTAAGATATTTGTGCTGTTTCACAACAGTGTCCGAGGTCCAGGGAAGCGGTGCTTCGGGAGCCTGGCAGTTGGGCAAGGCTGTGCCTATGCCCCCTGGCCGGCATTAGCCCTGCACCCCAGTGCACCCATCCCCACTCTCACCCCACGTCCCCCCATCCCCTCTTCCCAGGCTGACCCCCCAGGCCTTCCTGCTTAGCTTTCTTTTCTTTGGCTTAGGACTTCAAACGACGATTTTCCACTGAGTGGGGATATTTTCAAAGAAACCTCACCTAAGGATATTCTCCCCAGCCCGCCCTCAATAGCCCAGGCCTTGACCGCACCACCCACATCCTTCTCAGAGCCCTTCCTGGCCACAGTCTGAGAAACCCAAGTAGAGCTCCTGCCACGTGACCCCAAGGCAGATTTCAGATTTGGAGGATGACTTCAGGCGCAGGCAGCCAAGGCTGGTTTCAGGGTAACCCGTGTTTGCAGTGGGCGCCTAGCCGGGGAGGGCACTTCCCTTCCCCCAGCGCCCAACCTCCCAGCTTCCTTCTGCTGCATCATGTTACCAGTCAAGAAGGGTCCATATCTCCTTCCTGACATATCCGTGTCACCTCTCGTCTTACTCTCTGGAAGGGAGAAGCAGCTTGTTAGAAACTTTGGTTTTGCTTCTCCTGGCAGATGCTCGCTAAAGCAAACACCTCAGAGGCAACTTTCATCTCCTCCAATCTCTAAGCCTATGCTTGTGCGTGGGGAAGGTTCGCATCATTACAAGAAGGTCCTTGTCACCTTTGCCTACCCATGCATCCGGGGTTTAGAGAATCTTACTCAAAGCTCAGTAGAGACTGGGTCCCCTTGCTTCTTTCTGGAAAGCAAATTAACCTCTGACTTCACTTCTGGTTACAAACTCTATGATTCTCCAGTGTTGGGGGAAGCCAGGCAAGATGAGACTTGGTGCATATGTGTGTGTGCGTGCACACACACACACACACACACACATGCACATACACACGCACACTTACCATCAGGAAGCTGGTACAATTGGGATGGCAGGACACTGAAATAATCATGAACAAGTGCTTCCTGTGCTGACACGCGGTCCCTAGGGAAACCTTTTAGCATCTGGGAGGCCAGGTCTTCAGCTTCAGGAACCCCACCTAGCCTGGAAAAGCAGAGGGAAGGAGCAGAGCTGCTCTAGAGGCTGTGATTCTGGAAGGGGGAGCAGATAAAAACGGAAGAAGTGACAAGGCTTAATATGACTCAAATAGGTCCTTTCTGGGCCACCAAAACAGATGGCAAGTGAAAACTAATAGCCCAACATCAAAACTCCTACCTGGCCTGTCACTAGGAGGAAGGGAGACAGTGTCTCTGTGTGCACACAAAGGACACAGATTTGTGATTCTAGAGACAGAAGTATATAATTAAGGCTTTCTCTTGGAGGGACACTGCAGCCCCCACCAAGCAGGAAGGCCCAGGTGTCAGGGCATTCCAGGCTCTGGGTACCAAAGACAGGAAGCACAGAGTCCTGATGGGGGAGACAATCTGGAGAGTGGAGGCTGGGTGGAAATATCTATTAACAGGGGTTCTGAAGCTCAGGCCCAGGGTTATCAGCTAAGGCATTTTCTTGGTTCCTCTGGAGATGGAGTTAGGCAGTGACAATAATCAAGTACCCAACCACGTTGTAGAAATGACACATCCTCAAGATGAGCAACTATGTTTACTGAGCAGCTGTCACATGTTAACCAATGACTGGCTATGGAGGCACCAGGCAAAATCAGCCCACCAAGCTGTCACACAAACACACTAAAGGGGGAAAGGGAAAGGCCCTTCTCAGTCTGAAGGTCTGAGGTCTCGGCGTTAGAAGGTCTGACCTTCGGGAGGTAGTAAGGTTATGGGGGAAGAGCCTTCTTGATGGGCTCAGCACCTTCATCAGATGAACTCTGGGGGACCCTTTCATTTCTTCTACCATGTGCAGACATGCCAAGAGGCCATCGTGTATGAAGCCCAGAGCCCTCATCAGACATTAAATCTACTGGTGCCCTCATCTCAGACTTCCCGGCCACTGGAATCTTCTTGTTGATCATAAATTATCCAAAGTATTTTGTCATCCTAGGCTGAGTTATCCATCTAAAATACTGTTTGTTCTAACAGCCCAGGTCCCTGACCTGGAATGGGAGGGCATGTTCAGGACTGGAGACTGACATCCTGCATTGAATTGCATGGCCACAAATGAACCAGTCAAACAAAACCTAGAGGAGGGACATGCGCTTCCCTTGGACACGCATGATGCAAGGATCCTGGAGGTCCTGTCCTACAGTTGTGATTTGTCTGATTTTTGCATGAGATTTGCATAAGAAACTTGCAGGTATCTGATTCCTAAATATAAATCTGTCTGTACAAACGGGTTATTAGTCTCTAACTCCAGAGTAATTGTTCCATAGACAAGGTAAAGATGTTTGGAAATTCCAGGGTAGGAACCTGCTTACTTGCTGTGGCCTGAAGGAGGACTGGTAGGTTGATCCTCCATGCCACATGCCCTGTCCATCCTTTGTGATTGTATAAAACAGTAGCTACTAACTCAGCACACATTTTGTATATATTATATTGTTGTTCTCAGAGGAGCAAGACAACAGTTTTAACTGCACACCCTGCCTCTGAGTATAAGAATCTCCTTCCTACATTGTTGCTACCAACCCTCACAGTGGGGCATGAGGCTGCCTATCATAAATTCATCTCGGTCCTGTGCTTTCCCTTGCATCCACAGAAAGGAGAAAGCTAGTGTTAAAGTGGCCACTTTTCTAATGCTCTCACTTTAGGATGTGACAGACACCCACGGTAGGAGACATCCATCAGCAGGAAGAAACAACCATTAGGGAAGCTGTCCTAGAATTGCCTGTCAGTCTAAACCATGAATATGTACACGCTAGGCCCTCATTAAAGAGATAGACATTAAACCCACAGCAAGGTCCATTTCTAGCCCCTTGCACAATTCATCCCACCTCTGTAGGAACGGTGCAGAAAGGCTGGAGATACCTCAGCTGTTCTAGACTTACCGTTCTTGCAGCGTTTGTCTGTTGTAACCCTGTGCAGCAGATGAATCCTGGTTCCTCCACTGACTTTCTGGCTAACCCTGGCCAGATGACCTAGTTCTCCTAAGCCTTACTTCCTTCCTGTTTGACACCAGAATGTCACATTCAGAATGAATGTAACAATATGTAGCCCCTATCAGGGCACGGTGGGCATGCATCCTATGTAACGTTAGTCCTCCACAGAGCCAAGAATTGTCTCATGTGCTAATACAGGCCAACCCTGTCTAATAGAATTTCTACAACAATGGAAATGGTCTATTTTTACTCAGTCCAGTATGGCAGGCACTGTTCATATGTGGCTGTTGAGCCCTAGGAATCTGGGTAGTGCAACTGAACAATTTACGTTTAATTTGGGACAGTTTCAGTTTGAGAGCTGTACGTGGCTAATAGCGACTGCAGTAGCAATGCTACGGATATTACTTCTTGCTCCAGGAACTAAGCAGGGAAAAAAGGAAGTCTAAGCAAAGGCCAGAAGCACAGGAACGGGCAGAGGCAGTCGGTGACACACGGTCAGGAGAGTCAGGTGACACAGAGAGTTCAAGTCCTGTTCAGTGCTAAGAGAAAGACTTGGGGGAGAATGTGTGACAGCAGGAAGCCAGCGGCCGAGTCATGACAGTGGCAACAGCAGCAGCATAGAGTATTGAGCTGCTTTGTGGTTTGGGTTTTAAGAAGCCAATTGTGGGAGGGAGGGGAGCTGTGGAACAGCGTGGAGATTCAAGTATCTCTAGGCAAGGTTCAGGGGGCCCAACACTCCCCCTGTTACTGTTTGAGCAGGATTACATTTATGTCAGTAAGTTGAAACAACTAAAAATGGCACTGCTCTGCTTAGAAAATGGAGCTGACCCAGCTCCTACTTAGGATGTCAAAATCATGTCATTGATATTCTAGGAACTCCAAGGAGCACTCAAGGTTAGAACGAGGTTCCTGCCAGCTTTGACATAGTTTTTGAATGTGTATCTTAAAATCATTGGTACCCAAACCCAAAAAAACCCAGAAAGTGAGTTTTCATTTGCCAATGCCACTCAATTAAATGGCTTGTAGTAAAAATAACTTGCCGGGGAGTGGTGGCATACACCTTTACTACCAGCATTTGGAAGGCAGAGGCAAGTAGATCTCTGAGTTCGAGACCAGCCTGGTCTACAGAGTGAGTACCAGGACAGCCAGGGCCACACAGAGAAACTTTGTCTCAAAAAGCAACAGCAATACAACAAACAAAAATATTAAAATAAAATGTCATGATAAAGTGATAAATCTATAGTCTGTTGTATTTGCTTAGCAGTAATTGTGACAAAAGTTTGCACATCCCAAAGGATATAATAAACAACAGTTCCTGGGAACATGCCTCTGAAATAACCCTGGGGGCAAGGAGGAGGACAGGGGAGGCATTCTGTGCTTAGAAAATAAGAGCATCTTGGGGGCCTTGTCTCTCCCAATAAGAGATCACCTGGCAGTCTGTGGCTCTATGTTTATTCTTTGTACTCCATTTTTTTCACTCTAAACTTTTAAAAGTGTACAAATGGTACATATGGCACAATCATGCCACATTTGGTTAGATTAAATCACTCTGCATATTCAAAGACCAACATTCCAGTGTTCAGTTGGGATCTTGGCTGGGAAACTCTTTCCTTCTCCCCACCTGCAGGAGTGTTTTTCTTTGACATCTGAGCTCCTTTACCCAGCCTCTGATGTTTCGCTCACTGCCCTTTTTGCCTCCTCACTGAAGCAAAAAGAACAGAGCCTCTGCTAATTACTCTCAGATCAAATAATGCTGGTTATTGTAATTGGTCATTGTCCGAAAACACTGAGTGCCTCTTCACTCAGAGCTCCCTGGCTCAGTGTAGTTAGCTAGCTATTCCCGGAATGTCTCTATTATCTGTTTTACTTTGCAAAAGAAACTAGGGATTTGTTGAAAGCTGGTAATAAAAGTCTGCCCTGGTCTGAGCTGAGACCATGTTGAGAGGCCCTGGGAAAGCATGGCCTCCATGAATCAAGTCCTCCTTCCAATGGCCACTCAATGATGTTATTTGGTTTCTGTCAGTCAGAGAATAATAAACCCACCAGGTTTTCTTGGAGGCCAACACTACTGCTCTCAGGGCCTGGGGCATGGCTGAGGGGCACAAAACAATTTTAATGACCAAACTCACTGAAAGTAAAATGGTTCATAAAGAAAAACTAACACCCTCCTGGGGGGCTGGCTCTCCCAGATGCTTCTTCTGGGGCTCAGATGGAGGTGCTGGGGGCTGGCACTCAGCACACTCCACTGAGGTCTGTGGAAGCATCTCCCTTTCTCCCTGGTCAATGTGGTACTTACCTGCTCCAGACAATCTGCAGGCTTTGAGGCTTAGGCAGCGGGAACCACTCTGAAAGGAACACAGAGAAACATTAAAACCGAGAATAACCTTCCAATTGGTTGCCAAAAATATTATTAAAATTCCAAATGCTCTTCTTGGCTTGGAGTAAAAGAGGATTCTAGAAGCAGGCAAGCTAACTACTGACTTTTAAAGCCTCCTCTCGGGATGTTTATGATTACTGAAAGCTACTATTAGGCATGAATTTTGTGTCCTCCAGATTCGTGTGTTGAAGTCCTAACACAAAGTATCATAGAATAGGACCTTAAGGGGAAAGAGGGTCCATATGATATTCTTATTAGGGTGGGCCCTAATTTAATTACAAAAAGGGAAACTTTGGACAGAGAGATATGTATTAGAAAAGATGACACCAAGGAAGACGAGAACAGCTCCCTCCAAGCCTAGGATAGACACCCGGAGACATTCTACCTCGGTCTTTAGACAGACACCACCCTGCAGATGCCACACTTAGACTCCCAAACTCTAGAACAAGAAACAAGGCATTTCTGTTATTTGAGTGCGGTCTTTTGGTATGGCAGCTTTTACGAACCAACGTGGCTAAATAGTCAGTTAACAAATATATAACATGCTGTGTGTAGAGTGTGTGCCAAGTACTAGAGGATACAAGAAATCAAAAGAAACTCCCTTACCCTCCCAGAGCTTACAATTCACCTCGGAGAATAAAGGACACAGACAGACAGACAGACGCACGCACGCACACACACACAGAGGAAAATCAGTGCAGTCAGTAAGGCAGGATGCCTCACAGCTAATCCCAACACTGGAGAGGCTGAAGCAGAAGGAATGGAATGTCATGAATTTGAGGGTAGCCTGTGCTACAGAGTGAGACCATGTCTCAAACAAACAAACAAAAACAAAATCAACTACCACCACCACCACAACAACAACAAAAACCGTGTAGCAAATGATTAGACAAAAGTTTCAAAACTCAAATGTGGGGACTTGAGAGAAGACTCAGTCGTTAAGAGTGACTACTGCTCTTTCAAAGGACCTGAGCTGGACCCACATCACCCACAGCAGGTAACTTTCAGTCTCTGGTAACTCTAGCTCAGGGGAAATCTGATACCTTTGTCCTCTGCAGGCACCTGCACACCCACACACAGATACACATCAATATACATAATTAACAATAAAAATAAACCCTAAAAACAAACCTGAGAAAAAAATTTAAGTAAGGGGGAGTGTATAATTTTATATGTTACTTGTGATACAACAGAAGTGAATGGCTTAGATAATTCAAAATCAGGCCCAAGATGGCTCACTGGGTAAATTGCCTGACTGTGCAAGCCTGACAGGCCGTGTTCCATCCAAGGACTTATGCCTCAGCTGGATGTAGTGGTGCACATCTGTAATCCCAGGGGTCCTACAGCAAGATGGAAGGCAGAGACAGGAGAATGGACTAGAAGGTATCAGGCCAGCTAACCCTGGGGAACACAAGGCAGCAGAAACAGAGCTCAGCAAGATGGAATGCCAAACCCACTCCCCAAAAGCTGCCCTCTGACCTTCACACATGTGCCATGGGACATGTACAAACTCATACACGCTCGTGCACACACACACACACACACACACACACACACCAAATAAGCAAAAAATTTTAAGGGGGCATCGCTAGAGAGATGGCTCGGCAGTGAAGAGTGATGGCTGTGTTTGCAGAGGACCTGAGTTCAGTGGCCAGCACCCATACTGGGTGCTCAAAGAGACTTGTAACTCCAGCTCCAAGGGATCCAATGCTCTTCTGTTGACTCCTGAGACACCTAAACACATCTGGCACTCACTCACACAAACACACACATACCTGCATATAAACAAAATAATAAAAACAAATCTGTAGGGATGGCAGGATTGCCCAGTGGTTAAGCACTGTCTGCTCTTGCCTAGTATTCACATCAGACCCCTCACATGACTCCAGACCCATTGGGTCCAATGCCCTCTTCTGGCCTCCAGAGTCACCTGCACTCATGTGCATATTATTTCCTCCCGCCCCCATAATTTAAAAAGTAAAATCAACCTTTTAAAAATGTTTTAAAGTTTTCAAAAATTTAAAATGGATAGTAAAAAGTAGGATGCTATTTGGAGCGTGCTATATTATTTATATTTGGATGCACAAATCTCGTTTGCTTTTGGTTATGACACTAGTGTCAACCCAAACTAAAACCACAATGAAAGGGGAGTTTTTTAATTTTAGAAATAATAACTCAATCTGGTTGAGTTAGCACTTAGCTTTCTTAGTTCTTGGGAGGCAGAGGCAAGAGGGTCACCACAATTCCAAGGGCCAAATAGGGAGACTCTGTTTCAGCAAACAAACAAAGAAGAATTAGTAATTGACTTCAGGGTGTGGGACACATACCTATGGTCCCTGCACTTGACAGGCAGGAGCAAGAAGGTGGAGAGTTCCAGGCCAGCCTAGACTACCTGTGGGGCCCAGAAAGTCTAATGTACGTAAGGACTGGAAGAGAAGTTGTAGGTGATGTCAATTGATGCTGCTCACACACAGATGCACACACATAAACACACACACACACACACACACACACACACACACACACACAACACACTTCCTTTTTTCTTTCTTGAGACAGGAGCTTAGACTGACCTCAAACTTCAGATCCAGATGAAGGAAACACATTTTAATTCTAATTTAAAATGACATTTCTGCCCTTTCCTTTTCTTGTATCTAAAATATGATTGTTTTGGCTTTTAAAATCCCTTCTTCTAGATTCTATATTAATGGAATAAACCAAGACTGTGTATTATGACTAAGGATTTAGTTATCCTTAGACAGAAAACCACTTGGATAACCCTGGCATGTGCCTGTTGGTAGGTACCCAGAAAGATCTAGAAGACTACTGGAAAGTGACTGGGGCCAGAGGGGCGCATTCTTCACGCTTATGCAGTCTCTCTGTCTCTCTCTCTCTCATTGATTTTTTTGGGACAGGGCTTCTCTGTGTAGCTTTATCTATGCAACTCACTCTGTAAACCAGGCTGGCCTCAAACTCACAGAGATCCTCCTGCTTCTGCCTCCTGATTAAAGGTGTGTGCCACCACTGCCTGGCTTTATTTTCTCAAAAAATTAAATAAGAAGCATATACAGTTAGCCTTCTATATCTGAAGGCTCCTACCCACAAATTCTCCATGAATTCAGGCAATCATGAATTGTAAATGTACATAATTTTTAATTACTGGGCCAGACATAGGGGCTTCAACATGTAATCCTAAAACAGGGGGCTGAAATAAAATAATGCAGGTGCGGCCTGAACTGCATAGTGAGACTCTTGTCTCAAACAAAAAATTGCTAGGGCAATTGTAGTGAATACACTCAGATATTTTTATCATTATCAGAGGACACTAAACAGTACATTATAACAATTATTTACAAGGCACTTACACCGTGTTAGGCAGTGGACTCATGCTCTGAGAACTCCAAGGGACAACACTATTAGTTTTAATTTCAAGAGTAAGTTCTATCACAAGTTTATTTACAGTGCTGAATTGTAGAGTAAAAAGGGTGATTAAAGAAAGCTCTTGAAGCCAGGCGGTGGTGGCGCACGCCTTTATTCCCAGCACTTGGGAGGCAGAGGCAGGCAGATCTCTGTGAGTTCCAGACCAGCCTGGTCTACACAGAGAGCCCCAGCATGGCTTCAAAGCTACACAGAGAAACCCTGTCTCAAAGAAAAAAAAAAGTTCAAGAAAGCTCTTGAAACTGAGTTCCCGGGGTCAGGTGTTACCAAATGGGGCCATGCAGCTAACAGTTTAGTGGCCCTGGTGGGACCTAAGGGGTCACTTATGTATGAGGTTACTCCATTCACTAGCCTGTGCCTCCATTGAAACAACTAGTAAAGACAAGACTCTCGGGAGTCTTGACTAGAATTTAGTGTTTATTTACAAACTACTTCCTGCTACCTGTTTGCTATTCTCCCCAGCAAAAAGAAAGACTCGAAGGAAGGAAGGAAAAAAGAAAAGAAAGAATGGTTCCTCATTCAATCACATCTCAGTTTCTAGTCAACAGAACAAAATCATTGAGACTTCCAGCAAGTTACTTGAACCATGATGTCGTAGCTGTTTTTCTATTGCTGTGCTAAGCCACCATGACCAAGAGTTTACTGTTTCAGAGGGTTAGAATCCATGGCCATCATGGTGGAGAACATGACTGCAGGGCAGCTGGCTGAGAGCTCACATCTTGAGACATAACTGCAGGTGGAAAGAGCTCACTGGGAATGGCTGGCTTTTGAAACCTCAACCCAGTCCCCAGTAACACACCTCCTCCAAGAAGCAACACCTCCTAATCCTTCCCAAGCAGTTCCACTAACTGGGGTCCAAGTATTCAAGCCCATAAGCCGATGGGGGCCATTCTCATCCAAACCATCACCAGGGTGACCCTCGGTTATGGTTGTCTGCTGTACATGTGTTCATTCGTTCCTCGGCTTCTTCCCTTCTCTGGTGGCCCTTGCTGCCCTCCTCACCCCCTCCCAGCAGAACACCCCCTGTGGCTTGGAGTTCTCTTTGGAGACCTGTGACTGTTTCCATCCACTGAAACTGTAGCTCTCAGTCTTGTACATCTACCTTGATTTGTTTTGTGTACTCAGTGTAGGAGGTGTTGTTTTTGTTTGTGTGGGTGTGTATGTATGTGTGTGTGTGCACATTGTGGTGCATGTGTGGAGATCAGAGAAGGACTTTTGGGAGCCCCTTCTCTCCTTCTACCACTGGCTCCAGAGATTAAACTTCGGTTGTCAGTCCTGCAAAGCAAGTGGTTTTACCTGCTGAGCCATCCCACTGCCCTAGAGGTTTCTTTATTTTTATTTTATGTGTATGAGTGTTTTGCCTGCATGTATGTATGTGTATATGTCTGGTGCTCACAGTCTCCAGAAAAGGACATCAGATGCCCTGCAACTGAAGTTACAGACAGATGTGAGCTGCCACATGGGTACTGGGATTCTAACCCAGGACCTCTGGAAGGGCAGCCAGTGCTCTTAACCTCTGAGCCATTTCTC